GCATATGTCCCGCCCATCCGCTAACGCTTCTCCGGCGGCGAGGCTGTTGGAAGATCCTTAGTCACGACGTTGATTGGACCATCGTTTCATGTACAGGGCGAGAACTCTTGTTCTCGTTGGAAATATGAGCAAATTACTACGAGATTTAATTCGAATAAATAGAAGATAAATCATGACTTCAGCAATAGAGATTAAACTAATCATGTGAACTAGCATAGCAGATGAACAGAACACATTTAGGGCACATACTAGAAACATGAATTCTACCACGATCTCGAACAGGAAGGATAGAATCACATACGGTGCAGTGGGAGCAACACCGCCGGCGTTGACGTTGTCATCCATGTCGTCGAGGATGAGGTTGCCGAGGTCAGGGAAGAAGTCGTCGTTCACGAAGTCGTCGCTGCCAGCAGTCGCGCGAGTGCGCTCCCCAAAAACCTGATCGCCCCTCTCCCGTACAGGATTACGAGAGGCGGGGTTCCGGAGGCCTGCTGTCCCTTCTCCCGGTGCACGCCGAAAGGAGGGATGGAGAAGACTTGCTTGACGGCGCAATGATCTGGAACGGTGGTGAGAAACCATACGAAGCGGCGGCGGCTAGGGTAGACGTCTGTCTGACTATATAGTGCGGGCCGGGTAGGTCATGGGAATAAACCCCACGTCCGAGTCGTCACGATCCAAAAGAATCGGAAACGGTTCAGTAATTAACGTGTCCGTTAATTATTAATTAATGACTCATTAATTTTCCCGAGCAGCAAAAATATAGACAACGTGCATAGCTCTGTCCTCGGCTCGGCGCGTCGTGACGAGGCGAGGTGTGGCGAGGAGGAGGAGGAGGAGCGCGCGTGTAGGTCTTCTCTTCTCATGCTCATACAAGTGGTAGAAGAGCTCACCTTATAAAGAGGTGCAACTCTCTCTCAACTTCCGGGGTGGGACTAAACTTTAGCCTCACTCACTTCACTCACATGTGTGCATGAATGGGCCAAGAAAATTTCAGAATTTTAGATGGGCTTTGGGCCAAAGGCGTACTAGCAAAATTCCAACAGTTCTGACCACAAGAAAATGGTCTTATGAAACTATCACTTAATAATATTCTTGTGAATTTAGTTTTTAAGACCACACCATGTGAAGCACAATTCCAAAAAATTGGATAACCAGCCCAATTGTTATTTAACTTTGTATGTTTCATCTTATGAAAATGTGGATAGGGAACCCTCCCTGCACCGACAACCTATGTCCAAGCTGAGAAGATAGCAGGAAGGGAGCAACGACGTGCCACATGTCATGTTGAAAGAGCTTCGCGGGTGTCCGCTAGAGAGACGTGCCCTCTTTCTAGAAAAAAAAACAGAAAATATTTCCGTTGCAAAAATGTTTCGAACGCTCTGAAATGAAAGCATCTCACAATAAATAAAATGATTACATTGTACAACTGTGATCAAAATTTATGCAGAAACATAATATTGCGGTAGTTTCCTTTATTTCTATGTTTCGATGGTGGTCCTGTCCTACCATATGATTTGGCCTAAAAAATGAAGGACTGCCCTAACAAGAGGAAAACGACATATCCCCTTTCAAAGAAAAGAAGGGGGCTGATAATCAATAGCATGTGTGCCGTTTACTGGTGTCATCCGTGTCCTCTTGAGTATGATCTGTAGAGCAGCCACGCTGTTAATTATCTCCTCTTCGCTCCATTTTACTGTAGTTGTGTTTTTTTCTCGGTTAAACTTACCACTACAAAAAAAATGAAGCAACATACCACTACAATTTGCGTTTGCGCTGCCAGGGCCAGTGCAGAGGCAACTGGTGTCACACCTTGTGCAGGTAAAACCGGGGCTAATAACACTATTGCCACTCAAATATTAAGAGCTAATTTTCTTAACAAAGTAGACCCGATTACCATTGAAAGCGGGTACCGCGAGTTATAAATTATGGCTTGCATCATCACACCACTGATGTAATCTTAAAAGACTGTGAATCTTAAAGTGGGTGCGGTCAGCGATGTGTAGAAGCAAATCCGCGCTAATGTCCGGATCACAACATCCAGATTAAGAAGCCTTCCCAGCATCCAAACTAGCACTGAAACAGGAGTATCTATGTAAGGTGTAGTTTAACAAACAGGAACTGCTTCCCAGTTCCCAAGTAGAAATACTGCTGCGATTCGACATTCATTACTCAGAACCATGTTTCAAAATACCGAGTTCGGAACCAGATGGAAATTCCACACACGCACGCGCAATGCGACATTGTGGAACACGAGCAATATACAAGGCACGAGATAACCAAACGCAACCAACTTGCGCACACACCAAATGCAAGCAGACAATTCATAGGTGAGCTTGCTTGAAAAGCAGCAAACTAAAGGAACGACAAGTGAAGTACAGAGTACTAATTAAACGAAGCAAGTCAATGTTCCCTTCATGAAGAGCATAGAAATTGTCAAATTAAGCAATTGATTGCTACAAATGGACTTCACAGCTGACCGGTGCATGCTACATAGAGAGCCAATCTGCGCGTCGAACATACAAAATAGTAGACACTACAGCGAACAACCCATTCCTTCATTTCAGTCACCAGAATGTAACCTGCGGAGGAAGCAATATAGTATCATCAGTCAAACAATTTTGCACCATTCTTCCAGGAAAAGCCATTGCAGTTACTCTCATAATTTTGTATGACACAAAACAGTAAACATTAGCTCCACCATTGTGGAAATTGTGTCAAAAAGCTTCAAAGGCGAATGATTCAGAATTATTAGACAAAACCAACACTTGAAACAGAGAATAACAGTAGGAAATTTGCAGTGTAGTGGCACACCTTCAACTTCTAATATTAGAAGTATTTGGTCATATTAGTCTGAGTAGAGGCTAAAAGAATAGAAGAGTGGGCACATGAGGGGCTCAATGGAGTAAGAAAGCAGAAGCATCTGGTTTCTAGCTCGCAGGCATAATATTGCATAGACAGGACAACACGCAAGTTACCACTCTGACTTGATACTCTTAACCACATAAAAAAGTTTCACGTCAATGTAGCAATCAGTAAAAGTTAAAAAACGAAGCATAGTAAAGTGTAAGTAGTACATTGCGAATATCCAATTCTGAGCCCGGCCTCATCTGCACCCACTCAAGAAACAATTCACAAAAAATTCAATTTTTTTGTGCAAGGTAGATAATTTGGTGTGTGAGGTGCGCTCCAAATTTCAGAACATTTGGACATTTGAGTAGCTCTCAGCAAAAAAGATAAATTGGGTCAGAACAGTATATGAACAGTACACTATTTAACAGACCCTAAATTTGTCTTTTTTGCCGAGAGCTACTCAGATGTCCAAATGATTTGAAATTTGGAGCGGACATCACGCACCAAATTATCTACCATGCCAAAAAAAATTGGAATTGTTTGAAATCTTCTAGTAATTGTTTTGATTTTTTTTATTGAGCGCAGGTGCAGATGATCCTGGGAGCCAAAACGCCTCACTCGTACATTTGCTACTATTTATCATAATAATATTCTCATCTCTGAGAAGGCACAAGCATATACATAATCAGGGGATGGGAAAGGGTCCTAGTTTATCAGTCATTGCAGGGGCTAGAGGGAGAAGAACCCGACACTACCAGAAGGAAATGGGGGAGTACTTACGAGGAGTTGAACTGAAAGCAAGTCAGCCGGATGGGAGTGGAAGGCGAGTGAAAGAGCACATCCAGTAGAGAGGGGTTAAATGTAAGTACATAAAACTGAAGGCAGGTGGGTGGGTGGAGGCGAATGGAAGAGAACGGAAAACTGCTGAGGAAGGATGAGGAAACAGTGCATCGAGAAAAGATTCAAGATGCAGCTCAATAGGAGGTGACCAGGTGGGCAACAGACTAGCTCAGCAAAAAGTTGTAGAGTCCTCTCTTGCAATTTGGTACTTGAAATGGCAGTAAAAAGGAAATAGTTACATTTATTTGAAGGAACAGTTTGCATTCCTAACAAGTAAACATACAAGCAGAAGATGCGATTACCGCTCTGCCAGTACATCAGAACAGAGTATTTAACCAGACAATCGCCTTATTTATTGTGCATAACATCAGATGCATCATGTCTACCACCAATGCCTGTTACTGCAAGCATAAGAAGTTAAACAACCAATGTCATTCCAACAAAAAGCCAAACAGATATGAGGAGGCAGCAAGGAGATATTTAGATAAACTCATAGCTGTATCTTGAAAAACAAGCATAGTTTTGATACAGCATTAGGACAAGTGATATGTCTATTCCGATTTAGATTATCCACTCGCAACAGACTCTTCTGAAGTGTTAAGATTAACTGTGAACAATTATTTGAATTTTTCATAATTGATTTAAGATCATTGCAAGATTGGCAGACATAATAATATAGAATGAAAGAAATAGAACTAAGTTTGAAGCTTCCAAATGTACCTATTGAGCTGCCTATTTGACATTTCAGTTGGTTCAAGCTAGTTTTTCATGTTGTCTTCAACTTCCAACTGGTAGATATTTTATCTTGAGAAAAACTTCGCAGCAGTTATACACTAAAAGTAAGGTTTTAAAATTCTTGCATATGTCAATAGGCAGGCAACGGTGAAATATAGTTCAGTGAATTTGCTAATCTTGGTGTTCAGTTTTATGTATAGATATTCATATAATGAACTGATAGAAACAGTTTGCTATTTCTGACTGGAAAAACATAGTTCAATGATAATAACAATAATATAATAACATAAGAACATCGCCACATATATGTTGAATGCATCATCGATGACAGCCCATCACCTAGGTACGGAAACCAAACTGGTGACACAAAAAACATAACAAACACTAGCTATAATAACTATAGGTAAAATATGTTAATCCATATATAACCATCACATAAAAAGCACACACATGAGCATCATAACAGAATCAAAATCACTATAAGCTGAAGAGGCCATGAAGCAGCGAAAGAAATAAATGATACAACACTACTTAAAATTGTTGGCTTAACACAAAATGATGTGAACATAATTTCATCAGCCAATTATCGACACATAACTTGGTTTTTTTCTAACCTTAGTGTAGGGCATGGTATTACCTGCAGTGTAGACACTTTCGAATGGAAAATAGCGAGACACGGTCGTAGTGTTGGAAAGCTTCTTGAACTTCAGTGACTCAAGATGGATCATGAAGAGGCCGATAACTGTCCGCAACAACAACACACTATTGTCTTGAGCAAACCCGACCATCTCTATGCCCCCTTTCTCCTCTGGTTTCAGGGAAAGCAGCTTGTCCAGCTGAATAGTTCTTGCAAGCACCCATGAAGCAACACCGTCACAACCAGTTATCCTCTTCCATAACTGGGCGGCGCAGCAGTCTGAGTGCGATATGAAGAGGAAACCTAGCACACCACCCTCTGCCCGCACAAGCTTGAAGCCATTCCGCTCCCGCTCGCCCCACATATGCACCGGCACCCGTATCACGGCTAGCCTCTTCTTCTCCAGATCAAACTCGAGAATTCCATTCAATTTCCCAGTAAGCGGCCAGTAGAGGGAATCTCCAGCCAGCGCGGCGTCCTCGGCACAAACGATGGCGGAAAACTGGGATCCATGAGCCTGGTATGGGAGCGGTGTCGAGATGAGACTTCCCCATACGCCGGTCTTCGACGAGTAAACGCAGGCGAGCGCTCGTCTAGGTTGTGCGCCGTGGTCGTCTGTCACCGCCAAGACCACCTGGAAATGTTGGACGTCTCCGGGAGCGCGACACACCGCCCCGCCGACCCCAATCTCCGCCGCACGTTCCGCGACCACCGGGGGGATGGCCACCCGGTGCCGGTCGCCGGTGACGGGGTCCCACACAAGGACCTCGAGAATCCCCGGAAGGAAGACGAGTAGGAGGCCGTGGCGGCATCCGAGGGAGACGAAGTAGCCGCCGTCGTTGCGCTGAAAGGGGAAGGGCCCGAGAGGGACACGGTCGGGGGCGTCCAGAGTGGGCTGGAAGGAGAGGCGATCGAATCGGTTGAAGAAGCCGAGGAGGGGAGGGTTGCGGCGGTGGCGGAGGCGGAAGCGGCGCCGGAATCGGGGGTCGCAGACGAGGCCGCGCCAGCGCTTGCAGACGGCCGATGCGCGCGGGAGGGCGGAGGGCTGCGGGGGGAGGCGGAGCAGGATCTCGGAGAGCAGGTCGTCGTCCTCCAGCGGGGACGCCGCCGGCGAGCGGCGGCAGTGGCGGCGGCGGGGGCTGCTCATCTCGCCCTACTCACTGGTGCTGGAGGAAAAAAAAATTCTCTCCTTGTGGAAGATGGTGCGGGTGTGGTGTGGACTGTGGACTCGAATCAGAACGTGGTGAGAACCAAAACCCAAACTGGGCTGCAGAGTGCAGACTGAAGCCCACATCAGTGGATATAGATAGATAAAGGGAGAAAGTTTTTTTGCAGACACCACAGAAAAAAAAACTCTTGATTCATTAATTAAAATGACTGTTTCTAAAAAAATGACTATATTCAGGAATCAAGCCTATTTTTTGTGACCCACTTTTTTACAAGAAGATTGATGATTTGGTTGCAGTCGATGGCAATCAGAGTGGTTTTTTCTGGAAAAAATTGTTGCAAATTGTTTCATCGCATTGATTTATTATTATTATTATTATTATTTCCAACGGGTGGAGATTTCTCCACCTAAATTGTACTCCCTCCATTTCACAATGTAGTGCTTCCTCTATCCACACGCTTCAACTTTAACCGTAAATTTAACTACCAAGATCGATTGCGGCGGGAGCAAAAATTATAGCAGTGAATTCGTATTCGAAAAAAGTTTTTAATTATATAATTTTTTCTCCCGCCGCAGTTGGTCTTGTTGGTTAAATTTATGGTCAAAGTTGGATCTCGGGAAGCGCGGGCGCACTATATTTTGAAATGGAGGAAGTATTCATTTTCCTATAAGGCTTTTGCAACCTATCGCAATATAGGTTCAAGTGAACCAGAGGTACACCGAGCACGCGGGAGAAGAGGTAAAGCAAAAAAGCGCACACACTGACAACACACCTAGCATGGAAGAATAAAAAGGGAAAACACAACAAAGAGCATGAAAGAACATGCAGTGCCCCATGTTTAGTTTTGGTAATTGATGACAATCTCTATGGACTAATGGTTGCCTTGAGTTATATTTGAAGGTTTTGTCCATATGCTTTTCTTGGAGTACATGTGTTGATTTCAAGGAGAGTTTGTGTCGACCAAGGTTGATATCCTTTCTTTCACGTCCACCTTGTTTTTCTTATGTTATTTCTTTGGTGGCTCCGTGAAAGCTTTTGCCTTGAGTGCGTGCCTTATCTCGTTGCATCTTGATGCACTCTTGGGTGGTGAAGATTATTTTCGTCATGCTTATCTTTACGAGGCTTTTGCCATCTTAATTGGTATCCCTCGTCTTGATGAGGCTTTCATCTTCTATCTTCACCACGGGTTGTCACAAGCATAGGTTCTTTATATGCTTATTAGTAAGCTTGTGAACCCATTTGCTAGTTGTGTGTGGGAATGATAGGCCTTGTGGGAATGATAGGCCTTGCACCGTGTGCCTCATTCTTTCAAGACTTTATTGATGCTTTATGCTCATTCGTACATTAGTCTTCTCAAGTGCATTGCCTTGACTCACACACATCATTTTGGTTGAGCCCATTTTTAAATTGCCTCTTTTACTTGTTGCTCAACCATGTGTTAGTTGCAAGTACTAGGCTTAGTTTCCTATGTGCTCACTTGCACTTGTTGTAAGTTTCTATTGATTTTGGGGGAGCTATGATCCTATTTTGTGCACTTTGTATCCAAATACAAAAATTCTTGATGTGCACAAATCATGGGGAGCTTCTCTAGTTTCTTTAGAACACTCCTGCTCATATCATAATTGTTGGGGAACGTAGTAATTTCAAAATTTTCCTATGCGCACGCAAGATCATGATGATGCACAGCAACGAGAGGGGAGAGTGTTGTCTACGTACCAACGCAGACCGACTGCGGAAGCGATCACACAACGTAGAGGAAGTAGTCGTACGTCTTCTTCCCGATCCGACCGATCCAAGCACCGTTACTCCGGCACCTCCGAGTTCTTAGCACACGTTCAGCTCGATGACGTTCCTCGGGCTCCGATCCAGCAAAGCGTCGAGGAAGAGTTCCGTCAGCACGACGGCGTGATGACGATCTTGATGTACTACCGACGCAGGGCTTCGCCTAAGCACTACAACGGTGTGATCGAGGTGGAATTTGGTGGCAGGGGGCACCGCACACGGCTAAGGAACGATCTCAAGGATCAACTTGTGTGTCTTGGGGTGCCCCCTGCCCTCGTATATAAAGGTTGGAGGAGGGGAGCCGGCCGGCCAAGGGAGAGGAGGCGCAGGGGAGTCCTACTCCCACCGGGAGTAGGACTCCCCCCCCCCCCCAATCCTAATCCAATTAGGACTCCCGGGGGGAAAAGAGAGAGAAGGGGGGCCGGCCCCTTATCCTATTCCTAATAGGACTTGGGGGGGCGCCGGCCAGCTAGTGGGCTTCCCTTTTCTCTTTTCCACTAAGGCCCAATAGGCCCATTAGTCTCCCGGGGGGTTCCGGTAACCCTTCCGGTATTCCGGTAAAATCCCGATTTCATCCGAAACACTTTCTATGTCCAAACATAGGCTTCCAATATATCAATCTTTACGTCTCGACCATTTCGAGACTCCTCGTCATGTCCGTGATCTCATCCGGGACTCCGAACAACCTTCGGTACATCAAAATGCATAAACTCATAATAACTGTCATCGTAACGTTAAGCGTGCGGACCCTACGGTTCGAGAACAATGTAGACATGACCGAGACACGTCTCCGGTCAATAACCAATAGCGGGACCTGGATGCCCATATTGGCTCCTACATATTCTACGAAGATCTTTATCGGTCAGACCGCATAACAACATACGTTGTTCCCTTTGTCATCGGTATGTTACTTGCCCGAGATTCGATCGTCGGTATCCAATACCTAGTTCAATCTCGTTACCGGCAAGTCTCTTTACTCGTTCCGTAATACATCATCTCACAACTAACATATTAGTTGCAGTGCTTGCAAGGCTTATGTGATGTGCATTACCGAGAGGGCCCAGAGATACCTCTCCGACAATCGGAGTGACAAACCCTAATCTCGAAATACGCCAACCCAACATCTACCATTGGAGACACCTGTAGTACTCCTTTATAATCACCCAGTTACGTTGTGACGTTTGGTAGTACCCAAAGTGTTCTTCCGGTAAACGGGAGTTGCATAATCTCATAGTTATAGGAACATGTATAAGTCATGAAGAAAGCAATAGCAACATACTAAACGATCGGGTGCTAAGCTAATGGAATGGGTCATGTCAATCAGATCATTCTACTAATGATGTGACCTCGTTAATCAAATAACAACTCCTTGTTCATGGTTAGGAAACATAACCATCTTTGATTAACGAGCTAGTCAAGTAGAGGCATATTAGTGACACTCTGTTGGTCTATGTATTCACACATGTATTATGTTTCCGGTTAATACAATTCTAGCATGAATAATAAACATTTATCATGATGTAAGGAAATAAATAATAACTTTATTATTGCCTCTAGGGCATATTTCCTTCAGTCTCCCACTTGCACTAGAGTCAATAATCTAGATTACACTTTAATGATTCTAACACCCATGGAGCCTTGGTGCTGATCATGTTTTGCTCGTGGAAGAGGCTTAGTCAACGGGTCTGCAACGTTCAGATCCGTATGTATCTTGCAAATCTCTATGTCTCCCACCTGGACTAAATCCCGGATGGAGTTGAAGCGTCTCTTGATGTGTTTGGTCCTCTTGTGAAATCTGGATTCCTTTGCCAAGGCAATTGCACCAGTATTGTCACAGAAGATTTTCATTGGACCCGATGCACTAGGTATGACACCTAGATCGGATATGAACTCCTTCATCCAGACTCCTTCGTTTGCTGCTTCCGAAGCAGCTATGTACTCCGCTTCACATGTAGATCCCGCTACGACGCTTTGTTTAGAACTGCACCAACTGACAGCTCCACCGTTTAAAGTAAACACGTATCCGGTTTGCGATTTAGAATCGTCCGGATCAGTGTCAAAGCTTGCATCAACGTAACCTCTTACGGTGAGCTCTTTGTCACCTCCATATACGAGAAACATATCCTTAGTCCTTTTCAGGTATTTCAGGATATTCTTGACCGCTGTCCAGTGATCCACTCCTGGATTACTTTGGTACCTCCCTGCTAAACTTATAGCAAGGCACACATCAGGTCTGGTACACAGCATTGCATACATGATAGAGCCTATGGCTGAAGCATAGGGAACATCTTTCATTTTCTCTCTATCTTCTGCAGTGGTCGGGCATTGAGTTTGACTCAACTTCACACCTTGTAACACAGGCAAGAACCCTTTCTTTGCTTGATCCATTTTGAACTTCTTCAAAATCTTGTCAAGGTATGTGCTCTGTGAAAGTCCAATTAAGCGTTTTGATCTATCTCTATAGATCTTTATGCCTAATATGTAAGCAGCTTCCCCGAGGTCTTTCATCGAAAAACTTTTATTCAAGTATCCCTTTATGCTATCCAGAAATTCTATATCATTTCCAATCAGCAATATGTCATCCACATATAATATCAGAAATGCTACAGAGCTCCCACTCACTTTCTTGTAAATACAGGCTTCTCCAAAAGTCTGTATAAAGCCAAATGCTTTGATCACACTATCAAAGCGTTTATTCCAACTCCGAGATGCTTGCACCAGTCCATAAATGGATCGCTGGAGTTTGCATACTTTGTTAGCTCCTTTTGGATCGACAAAACCTTCTGGTTGTATCATATACAACTCTTCTTGCAGGAATCCATTCAGGAATGCAGTTTTGACATCCATCTGCCATATTTCATAATCCTAAAATGCGGCAACTGCTAACATAATTCTGACGGACTTAAGCATCGCTACGGGTGAGAAAGTCTCATCGTAGTCAACCCCTTGAACTTGTCGAAAACCTTTTGCGACAAGTCGAGCTTTATAGACAGTAACATTACCGTCAGCGTCAGTCTTTTTCTTGAAGATCCATTTATTCTCAATTGCTTGCCGATCATCGGGCAAGTCAACCAAAGTCCATACTTTGTTCTCATACATGGATCCCATCTCAGATTTCATGGCCTCAAGCCACTTTGCGGAATCTGGGCTCACCATCGCTTCTTCATAGTTCGTAGGTTCATCATGATCTAGTAGC